TAAGGGGGGGGGGGGGTAAACAAATCCTCATTTACGCCCCTGAATGTATGTATATGACCATCTTTTGTCTGTTGATGAAGAAAAAATTTCTTTGGCGCGCTTCGCGCATCATTTCTAATAGAATTTCTAGCTATTTATCCTCTCTAAAAAAATATATGTTACTTCTCATGAGTATTACAATACATACCATTTAAGGTTACACAAAACCTATAAACAACCTAAGAAGAATAACAAGAAATATAATAAGGATTATATATCAGAATTGGCCATTATAGGGACTTTTACAGACTATATGAGAGGAAAATAGGGTAAGCCCCTTACTGGCCAACAATAGGACAGAGGGACTTCGATCGGAAAGACTTTTTATGGATTATGGAAAGATGAAATATATTATAGTCAAGTACTGCCAGGAACTATTTACTACTTAGGACTGCACAGACCTACGAATAAGGGACATAGTGGACTAATTTGACTAGCTGATGAATTACAAATAAATTGCTGTAGACTGTAATGGGGACTTTACATACATATTGAATGTTGGGACTAACAGACAAGAAATACATAAAAAGACACGGGAAGAACCGAATTTTGGCGCTTCGCGCACATGTTTAATTTAGTAATGTCGTTTATTTTAAAGCTGTTGGAAGTATATTTTTTTCAACACAAGAACAAGCCATGGATATTAGAAGAATTTGGTATATTTTATTGAGCACAGAGCCAACCCTTAAACAATAAAAAATGATTTTTTTACTTCATATCCTGAAATTGCAGCGGCTTTTTTTAATACAAATGTTGGTGGTCCAAAAATCGTATACTAGGAAATTACCCCGTTCTCTTCATATTAAAATTATAAAAGGTCGTGAAATTCACGTGTTTAGTGAGACCATAGTTTGGCCGGCCGCAAGATGTCCCCCGAAATACTCTTAACTGTATTGATTATTCATAAGAAACCAATCTATAGGCCAAAATATCGTCCCCCAAGTACATGAACTACACGGTCACTATCTAGTAAGGGAACGGGCTCTGAACAATTATTAACAAGAAAAAAAACAATTAAATCAAAACCAATTAGCGAAAAAGTGTGGGGGGGGGGGGTATATGTCCCAGGGAACGATTTTTGGGTAATTTTAAATGACATTATAATCAACCTTAATGCACACAAACTTAAATTTAATAATCTCACCTAATTTTATCCAGAGCATCGGAGGCATTGGAGATCAACTCTCGGAGGAAAATTTCTTTATTGGAGTAAAATGTGTTGATAATGAGCGACATAAGCTGTGCAATCTCAGCCTGGAAGGCGAATGTCTCAACTTCATCAGACATCTTTGTGTTAGTGTTAGTTGGTTTGACGTAGGTTGTGTAGCAGTAATATCTCAAACGTCTGAAGCCATGCTAGTCTCGGCCCGGTTTATGTACTCAAGGAACTCTCTAGAACCTTCTAGAATTTACTATTCTACCGGCACCGGATATTACGTCACAAACCGGGTTCTGAACAGTACTACGCATGCGCAAAGGAGTATCTGCAGCTTTCTGACGCTTCTAGAAATTTCTAGGCTATCATCAATACATTTCTCTGGATACTACAGAAAAGGGGGAATGTAAAAAAATTTGTAGTAGAAATCATTTGTCATTTATGTTTGAGTTTCAAAAATTTAAGAAATTAAGAATCACCTTAAAAAACAACAATACTCTTGCAAAAATATCAGTATTATATAACCAAGCAAAGAAGCAATGCAGGTTGTCATAGAAAACAATGTTTTAAAGAAACAAATCAGTAGTTTAAAAAAACCTCCTTAAAAATTATTTGCAGAATTATCAAAAGATATATTTACAGTGATAAACAGAAAACTCTGAAATGGGAAGACGACTTTATGACAATACTGTAGTGTATTATAACCCTATAGGTATACATTACGTAACACACCTTTGTCTATAAAATTTATAATTATAATTGATGTTAAGCGAAATAGAACTCTGAGTTTTTACATTGTCGTCTTTCAAAATCAATATTATTTATCATATAAGAAATCCATTCAAAATCAGTTTATTTTGCATCACCCATTAAACAGATTAGATCACATATACCACCGGACCCTTTAGTCCCATATGTCTGAATCTGATAATGATAAGTATAAGAGCTAATCAAACCTTGGAATTGAATTAAAATATCGTCTTTGTTAACTTAATATAATGTCGTCTTAGTTTAATTGATAAAAAAGGATGGTGTATTTTTGGACCTACGCCCATCCCCTCTACTGCCCATCCGACCTACAAGCACGTGGGTTTAACAGCTGTGGTAGGTCCGATGCACTTTTTCTTTCCTTATACTTAATTTCTCTTCTTTTTCTCTTTTTTATTCTTTTTATTCTACTTCGAGTTTCGTTCCATTCTTCTTTATCCTTATTTCTTCAAATCTAAGTTTTATTTTTTCTTCTCTTATATCTCTCCTCCAGTTATTTAGTCAAGTAGCATAAAACTTATATATATATATATATTTCAATTAACAATGGACCTCCTTGATTTCATATTTTATTAAGCTAAATTCCAAATGTTTTATTTTGCAAGAATATAATTTTTTTTTAGTTACATTTATTTCTTTTTTTTCTCTTACTTTTTGTTATATTCTTGAAAAATCTTTAGAAAATGTTCCAGAAAATTCTGATTGTTGATTCTCCTTCCAAACTCCGTGATGTTACAAAACCTGACAAGTTTTACAAGCTTTCTCAATGATATTACTCTGGAAGTTCTAGACTGATCTAGAATCGATACAACGTAGTAAACCTGTATACAGTATAATCATGTTTTTAACTATATAACTTATAGATTACAGATAACTATATAAAGATTAAAGACGAAAATATAGAGAAATGGTCTTTGTATCCTCCTTATTCTAAGCCTTGAATCCTTTTATCATTTTATTCATGATATCTTCTCCTACTGTCTATAATAAACCTTTCTCTTTCTCTCCTTGAACCATATTGTCGGTCTCCTTATATTTCTGAACCTTTCTCTTTCTCTGTAAAACGACATAGGGTCAAAAAGTGCGACAAACGGGCAAAATTTCATTTAGACTATTTTTAATTAATTTGAACAATTTTTATGTTTGGCCCAGAAATTGTCTTAACCTAACCTAACCCTAAAATAATACATATTTTTATGTCATGTTTTATGTTCATTTAAACTACTAGCCGCAGAGCTCGGGCCCCTAGCCTATCCTAGCCGCAGCCCTTGGCCCAGAAATTGCCTTTACCTAACCTAACCCTGAAATAATGCATACAATATTTTTTCCCATTTTGACCCTTTGTCGTTTTTCCCTTTGTCGCGTTTTTGACCTTATGTCGTTTGACCCTATGTCGTTTGACCCTGGGTCGTTTGACTCTAAGTCGTTTGACACTATGTCTGTGAATCAACAATTCTTCTTCTAACCCTGAACCATTCTCCTCCTAACTTTACACCCATCTCTTCCTATCCTTGAACCATTCTCCTTCTAACTCTGAACCTTTCTCCTTCTAACCCTGAACCTATCCATTTCAATCTTAGCCAATCTCTTTCTATCCAATGGAACCATTTTCCTTTCGTACTCTAAACGGCCATCTCTTCCTATCCCTGAACCTTTCTCCTTCTTTCCCTAAACCCATCACCTTTCTATCCTTGAACCATTCTCCTTCTTTCCCTAAACCCATCTCTTTCTATCCTTGAACCATTCTCTTTCTATTCTTACTATGAACTATTCTCCTTCTAACTCTGAACCATTCTTCTTCTAACCCTGAAACATTCTCTTTCTAACTCTGAACCATTCTTCTTCTAACTCTAAATCCATCTCTTTCTATCCCTGAACCATTCTCCTTCTAACCATGAATCCATCTCTTCCTAACCCTGATCAATTCTACTTCTAACTCTTAACTCATCTCTTTTTATGCCTGAACCATTCTCCTTCTAACCCTGAATCTATCTCTTCCAAACCCTGAACCATTCTCCTTCTAACTCTGAACCATTCTTCTTCTAACCCTGAAGCATTCTCTTTCTAACTCTGAATCATTCTCCTTCTAACCCTGAACCTATCTCTTCCTAACTCTGAACCATTCTCCTTCTAACTCTGAACCATTCTCTTTCTAACCCTGAACCCATCTCTTCCTAACCCTGAACCATTCTCTTTCTAACTCTGAACCATTCTTCTCTCTCTCTAACCCTGAACCATTCTCCTTCTAATAATTCTTAACCATTATCTGTCTCACTCTGAACCATTCTCCTTCTAACTCTGAAACCATCTATTTTTATGCCTGGACCATTCTCCTCTAACTCTGAATAATTCTCATTTTAACTCAGAACCATTCTTCTTCTAGCTCGGAACCTATCTTTTTCAATCATTGAACCATTCTCCTTCTAACTTAAAACCCCTCTCTCCTATCCCATTAGCCATTCTCCTTCTAACTCTACACCCATTTCATTATAACTTTGAAGCATTCTCCTTCTAACTCTAAAACATTCTCCATCTAACCCTGAACCATCTCCTTCTATCCCTGAACCATTCTTCTTCTTACTCTGAACCATCTCCTTATAACTCTGAACCATTCCCTTGGTAACCCTGTACCACTCTTTCTTACACTAAACCATTCTTCTTCTAACTCTGAACCATTCTCCCTCTAACTCGAGTACCTGCATCTCTTTCTATCCCTGAACCTTTCTCCTTCTTTCCCTGAGCTCATCTCTTCCTATCTCTGAACCTTTCTCTTTCTTTCCCTGAACCCATCTCTTCCTTTCCCTGAACCATTCTCCTTCTATCCCTGAACCATTCTTTTTCTAACTCTGAACCACTCTCCTTCTAACTCTGAATTATTCTCCTTCCATCGTTGAACCCATCTCTTTCTAATCCTAAAACAACCGCTTTCCAAGTCTCAACCCTTATTTCTAATCCTAAAAAACTCTATCTTTAGCTTGATAAACTATACAATGATAAACTCTTTATTGAATATTTTATATCTATGCAATCGTGGAAGACAAATACAATAATAATAAATACGTTTCTTATCCAACCTAGCTATCTATTCATATTCCATATCTTTTGTTTAATACCATTATATTGTCACAATCAGTGTGCTAAATACTCTTTAACAAGATAGTACTGTTTTTTTACTTTTAGTCTTTGTTTAATACCATTATATTGTCACAATCAGTGTGCTAAATACTCTTTAACAGATAGTACTGTTTTTTTTACTTTTAGTCTTTGTTTAATACCATTATATTGACACAATCAGTGTGCTAAATACTCTTTAACAGATAGTACTGTTTTTTTACTTTTAGTCTTTGTTTAATACCATTATATTGACACAATCAGTGTGCTAAATACTCTTTAACAGATAGTACTGTTTTTTTACTTTTAGTCTTTCAATCACTCCTGTCCATTAGCGCCTCATCCAATCAGGGTTCAGTCATGTGTTTGTTGTCTATTCTAAACCAATAGAAATAGTATGGCGATAACATATATCTTTCTATCTATCTTATTATCCAATTAGACTTATGAATCCTTCAATTTTTTTAATTTTTCAATCCGAGTTCAGAACATTTCCGTGGTTCTGCCGAGTTCACCAATTCAAATTTGAGGCAATTCGGTCAAGGTTTCCTGAGTTATGATCAGTCAACAAACAGACAGACAAACAGAGATTAATACTTTATATACCTTTTTTAGATATATTGGAAAATATATAAAAATATCTAAAATATATATTTAAACTAAAAATGTTTAAAACATTAAAATGATTTAAAGAAGTGATCTCTCTAGCTCTAGCTCACAAAAAGCTAATAACGAATCTGAAATAAAATTATGCAGACAAAAATGTCTTGGAAATGCACAGAGGATAAACATTATGAAGAATGTTTAATTAACGTTGGTAAAAATCAAAACTTTTAAACACTTTTCCTTCCCTGACTTCATCAAAGTTTATCACGTGTTTGATAATATAATTTTATCTAATGTCTAATTCTTACTTGTACTGCATGGGGTAAATACAGGAATTTGTTCAGGGGGGGGGGCTGGGAGGGGTGGGGAGGTTCAGCATTTGTTTAAGGCCTGAAAACCTCCTGGAAACAGTAGATTTCACTTTCTAATCCTAAAATTTGAACTTTGCTGTAATGTTTACCCTTTGTCCCCGTTATTGCTCTGTAAATTTCCGTTTTGTGTCCCTCCTTGCGTCTCTGACTTTTATCTGAACAAAACAAAATATCTTCGATGTAAACTTTTGATCTTTTATATATATTTCATTTACATCTTGTATATATTTCAATACATCTTGTATATATTTCAATACATCTTGTATATATTTCAATACATCTTGTATATATTTCAATATATCTTGTATATATTTCAATACATTTTTATTTTATTTTTATTTTAGTTCGCAGAATTGGATACACAGTAGTTTGTCCAATATTTATTTTCCTCGGTATATTCGGCTGTATTATGAATTTAATGGTGAGCAAATTCTTTAAGGGATTTTTAATGTAATTTTGTTGAAAGGGTTACGCATACCTTTTACATGACAATACTCTTTAACCTTTAATCTTAATAACAATAAGGGAGATATCATTGTTTTCGATCTTTGAAAGCGATTAATTTCGTCAATTTCTTTCTTTGTAGACAACAGTCTTTTCATTCAGAATTATTCAAACAATTAAAAGATAAACAAAAAGAAGAAAAAAACTAAATTCAATAATTTTAAAAATGATAACTATAAAACAAAAACAAATAATATTAAATGTAGGATGTATGGGATTGGTGATGTCTTTAGATTTAAACTGAAGTTCTGGAATAATTATGATTTATACGTATACGTATAAAAATGAATAATTATTTATAATGAATAATTAACAGATTATATATTTTTTTTTCAAACTTAATATTAGGAAATATTTCAAAAATAAGATCAATTAATTTTATATTTTTTGTTCAGGTTATGACAGGTCCTAGGTTTAGGAGTAAAACATATCTATATCTCCGCGCTCTTTCAGGTTTCCCTATACTATCAATTACAGGGTGTCCCACATATTATATTATGCAGGTTTTCCTAAATTATATTATATACAGGGTCTCCCACATTTTGTTATTTGCCGGGTTTCCCACATAATTTTGGATCGTTCATGAACCTTTAAATTGTAATTTTTGGAAACAATTTGTATGAGTATTCTTTGAGCATAATTTGGTTTTTAAACTTGTAGATAATTCAATACGATATGGGAGGCTCGTACAAAGTGTATAGAAAAAGTACAACTATATACTTGACAAACGAGAGACGACTTTAATAATAACTTTGATCTTTGATAGCTATCTATCTGCTTAATCTGTAAAATATTAATATTTTGTTAATAAATTTTAAGAGGTTTTATTTTTAAAAAAAGAAACTGATTACTCGCCTCAAACTCCAATGTTCTAGACCTTATATCGTTGCAACCAAATATCTAAGGTTCAAACGATCTTTTTTCCAATATATAAGGATTATAAAGTTAAACAGCCAAGGAATCAGTTTTTTTTTTTGTTTATTTTAATTTTGTCTTATACACTTTATAAACACAAGGGTTGAACAAAAATTATATAATAAATGTTTAAAGTTTCAATTGACTTTGTAAAATTTGAAGAAACAAAAATTAAGTTTGTTTGATTAATGATTTTTTAATCCAATTCGCCATGGACAGTGGAAATTTTCTATAGTTATGATTTAACTGCGACTTTCTCGCCTTCTTAGCCTGGGAAATCACAGCAGAAAATAGATAATATTGTTTAGTTTCTGATCTGAGATAATATTGTTTAGTTTCTGATCTGATCTTCCTGTGCTGGTGTGTCAGCTTCTTCTATTCTGTATTCAGGGACAAAATATTTTAAATTTAAGAAAATATAAAAAAATAAATGAATTGAGCCACAAACTCTGGTTTTCTAATATCTTTATAAAATTGTAACCCGATGTCGTAGACCTTAGATATATCAAATTATAAATTCTGTTAGATCATTTACTTTAAGTCAAAGGCTTAGACCATCAGGTTGCAAAGAAATATGAATTATAAAAATAGTGTTTGGCAATTAGTGCATTCCTTTTGAGTTAAAAACTTTTAATCTGTCGATTTTTTTCTATAACGTCGTTATGATTTTGTTATATTGATAATTTTATGAACCCTCGCTCTCTATGAAAAAGTAAAGAACCTTGAAAAGCACACACAATTAAGTATGAAATTCTTTTGAACACATTGAGATGGCCTCGAAGCACTCGGTCCCCTAGCTTGTCCTAGTCGCAGCGCCAGGCCCAGAAATTTACTTGATTAGCCTAAAGATGTGTATCTTTATTGTTTCATGCTTTATTCTGCATGAATTTTAAACTTGCACACTCTCGCATTAAAGATATCTCTGCTGGGATACAGCCTCTTTCTTTCTAATCTAGGATACAGCCTCTTTCTTTCTCATCTAGGATACAGCCTCTTTCTTTCTCATCTAGGATAACTGAAACACGGAATCCCCATAAATTCTCATCATATTTCATTCTTTGATTAGATAAAAAATAAAAAAGTCGCAATTTTTTTAAATTTAATCTTTTTTTTAGTGAAGCGAAAAGTGCAGGTTTTCTCACTTATCAGGTATTAAACATTTACTATGTATCTGTAATCCATAAACTTAAAATACAAAAGAACTGATTTTTGCCACAAACTCGAATTTTTGGATCTCTACATCTTTGCAATCTGATGGTGTAAACTTTTGATATTGTTTACTTAGGTTATTAGATCTAAGAGAAATTCTAGGTTAAAATATCAAAGGTCTACAAAATCATGTTGCAAAGATATAGAGATTATAAAATCTAAGTTTATTGCAAAAAAATCCTTTAAAAATCCCTTTTAATATTTCCGATCTTTCTTTAACGATTGGTTTCAGGCACAATATGAAAAGGCATTGGTAAACGGCTTTGTAGGAACATCAATCTTCATCATTGTAGCAGTTACCCTTGACAGGTATTTATATTACAGTTGCAGTTACCCTTGACAGGTATTCATATTATAGTTGCAGTTACCCTTGACAGGTATTCATATTATATTTACCCTTGACAGGTATTCATATTATAGTTACCCTTGACAGGTATATACATTATAGTTGCAGTTACCCTTGACAGGTATTCATATTATAGTTGCAGTTAACCTTGACAGGTATTCATATTATAGTTGCAGTTACCCTTGACAGGTATTTACATTATAGTTATCCTTGACAGGTATTTACATTATAGTTACCCTTGACAGGTATTCATATTATAGTTGCAGTTACCCTTGGCATGTATTCATATTATAGTTGCAGTTACCCTTGACATGTATTTACATTATAGTTACCCTTGACAGGTATTCATATTATAGTTACACTTGACATGTATTTACATGATAGTTACCCTTGAAAGGTATTCATATTATAGTTGCAGTTACCCGTGACAGGTATTCATATTATAGTTGCAGTTACCCTTCACAGGTATTCATATTATAGTTGCAGTTACCCTTGACAGGTATTCATATTACAGTTGCAGTTACCCTTGACAGGTATTCATATTATTGTTGCAGTTACCCTTGACAGGTATTTATATTATAGTTGCAGTTACCTTTGACAGGTATTTATATTATAGTTGCAGTTACCCTTGACAGGTATATACATTATAGTTGCAGTTACCCTTGACAGGTATTTACATTATAGTTAGCCTTGACATGTATTCAAATTATAGTTGCAGTTACCCTTGACAGGTATTTACATTATAGTTACCCTTGACAGGTATTCAAATTATAGTTACCCTTGACATGTATTCAAATTATAGTTACCCTTGACAGGTATTTACATTATAGTTACCCTTGACAGGTATTCAAATTATAGTTTCGCTTGACATGTATTCAAATTATAGTTGCAGTTTCCCTTGACAGGTATTTACATTATAGTTACCCTTGACATGTATTCAAATAATAGTTGCAGTTACCCTTGAGGTATATACATTATAGTTGCAGATACCCTTGACATGTATTCATATTATAGTTACCCTTGACATGTATTCAAATTATAGTTGCAGTTACCCTTGACATGTATTCATATTATAGTTGCAGTTATCCTTGACAGGTATTTACATTATAGTTGCAGTTACCCTTGACAGGTATTCATATTATAGTTGCAGTTACCCTTAACAGGTATTTACATTATCGTTACCCTTGGCAGGTATTTATAGTTGCAGTTACCCTTGACAGGTATTTATATTATGGTTGCAGTTACCCTTGACAGGATTCATATTATAGTTGCAGTTACCCTTGACAGGATTCATATTATAGTTGCAGTTACCCTTTTTGACAGGTATTTATATTATAGTTGCAGTTATCCTTGACAGGTATTCATATTATAGTTGCAGTCACCCTTGACATGTATTCATATTATAATTGCAGTTACCCTTGACAGGTATTCATATTATAGTTGCTGTAACCCTTGACATGTATTCATATTATAATTGCAGTAACCCTTGACATGTATTTTATATTATATATTATATTATTCCATAGTGTGTTCACTTTATAAAACTAGCCAATATCAGCACTACAGATAATTCCGGAGATTTTAAATGTAAAATTATAATAGTATTTACGAAATTTACGATTTTCAGTCTTCAGAGACTCGAGTCTTCAAGAGTTAAAAATCCAAGTCAATTGCGTTTTACTAACCCCAAGTCTACCCTAAACTCGAGTCTTGACTTGAGCTTTACTTGGGTTTAATAGACGCTAAGACCGGGTTTTAGTCGAGTTTAAGATTTTAAAATCTCAGCTCAGGTTCTAAAACAGGTTTATTTTAGGTTCCATCCATCTATTACAGATTTCATGATCTTTTTATTTCCAGTTCCATGATTTATCTATTTCCGATTCTATAACAGATCTATTTCAGGTTTCATGACAAATCTGTTTCAGGTTCTAAACATATCTATTTCAGGTTCAAAGAAAAATCTTTTTCAGGTTCCATAACAAATCTATTTCAGGTTCCATGACAAATAAATTCCAGATTCCATTACCTATTTAATTTATGATTCATGTCAAATATTTTCAGGTTCCGTGACAAATCTGCTTCAGATTCTATAACAAATTTATTCCAAGTTCCATGACAAATAAATTCCAGGTTCCATTACAAATCTATTTCAGGTTCCATGATATTTAATTCTTCCATAAAAAATTAATTTCAGGTTGCATAACAAATCTGTTTCAACTACCATAACTTATCTATACTTCAGGTTCCAAGACCTATATAATTTCAGGTTCCATAACAAATCTATTTCATGTTCATAACAAATCTATTTCATGTTTCATAACAAATCTATTTCAGGTTCCATGACAAATCTATTTCAGGTTCTATGAAAGTATGAGATTTGGATGATTAAAACTATCTGTATATCCAGGTACTACCGGATATGTCGACCCGGAAACCTGCCTAGAGATAATAAATCCGGAGTTTATATCTGTATATCCAGGTACTACCGGATATGTCGACCTGGAAACTTCCCTAGAGATAATCAATCCTGAGTTTATATGTGTATATCCAGGTACTACCGGATATGTCGACCCGGAAACCTGCCTAGAGATAATCAATCCGGAGTTTATATCTGTATATCCAGGTACTACCGGATATGTCGACCCGGAAACCTGCCTAGAGATAATCAATCCGGAGTTTATATCTTTATTGCTGTATTCGGTGAGTTCGCTACAACGTTAAAGCATGAAGTTTTCACATGATAAGTTCTACTTTTAATATTTGTTATTATAAACTACAGTAAGATCCATAAAGCAGTGGAATAGGAAGACGACTGTAAGACACAAATATGATTTAAATTAGTTCAATAAATACGAAACATAGCACAGGCACATTTCAGTTAATAATTTGATTTACAAGATGCTGGTGAACTTATTTTCATAGAAAATACTCAAAGGTTGCTTAAATGTCGTCTTCCTATTCCACATTTTTTTTAATGCTCAGAAGAAAGACGTTGCCCACAAACTTATTAATTTATTCATTAATCGGTAAAAATGTACTATTGACATTTTACAACCTTTACTTTATTTCATTTTAATTGTAAAAGAATTTTAATTTTCTTTAAAATATCGTTTGTTTCAGGTGGATTCGCAATTCAAGTCCCTCGAGTGTTTCAAGAAACAATAGGGAATCATATATGTTTATATGTTTATAGAAAATTAGATACTTTTAAATAGTGCCTTACTAGTTATACTGCACTCTTACCAGAAATGTATTTAACTTTGTACTGCTGCTTTATCTGCAAGCTTTTTCTTTGTACAATATTAAACTAATAACTTTTTAATTGCCGTATATTTTCCGTGCTTTTTGTAGAGGAAATTTTAAAATATTTAAGTTTTCATCGTCACTTGTGAGCCATGCTGGGAGTTAAATAGTTAAAAAAAAAAAAAAATCAAAAGACAAAAAGACAAAAGACAAAAAGACAAATGTATACGTATATGATATAGATCAACAGGATTAGTTCCGTTTTATTTCAGCCTAAAAAAATCAATTAAAAATTGCCAAAAATATTTCTTTTTGACCCCAACAATTTTATTTTAGAAATGCATTTTTAATAACCGTTATAATACATACGTATATTTTTCATGAGCAGCCACTGAGTGTGTTCGAGTTGGGTAATAACATTTTTTACAGTGTGATTAACTTTGGATTTAAGCGCATTCTTCCCTTTTGATTTGAGTTTAACCACATTATTCCAGATTGGTTTAAGTTTAACGGCATTGCATGGAATAATAGGGATCGATTTGAGTTTAACTGGTTTTTGATTTGAATTTAGTCGCATAATTTTCTAGTGAGGTTTAGAACCCCATAAAGGTCTTGGAGGCCCTCGGCTAAGTGGTTTTCCCCTCAATTTAATTATCCTCCCTTAGTCTTCCGGTTAAGTAGTAATTAATAGTTATAACCGCATTACTTTCCAGTTTAATTTGAATTTATCCGCATTATTGTCCAATGCATTTAACTGTATAATTTTACAGTTTTATTTAAATTTAACTCCATATTATTGTCCAGTTTGATTCTAATTTTAACTTCATTATTCCAGTGTGATTTGAATTCAACCGCATTTCTCTAGTTTGATTTGTACATAACCGTATTTCTTCCAGTTTGATTAGAATTTATTGACATTTTTACAGTTTGATAAACTCAGGATTTACTCCCATTATGTTCCAGCTTGATGAACCAGACCTGGCGGACCGGAAGGTTTCATGGAGCTCTTTGCAACTGTCAGGGAACCTCGGGGCACTCAAATTACTTTTCCGGACTTTTTTGTATGAAAACCACTCTTAGCTTTAAATATCATTGCGTTTTACTTAATTTCTAAGTGCTGCAGCTAGAACATGCTAGGGAGGCTATAGACTTTGGGAAATTACATTACATCTTAAATTAGATGAAAATAAGGAACTTAGCCGAAAACTTGAGAATTGGAGATGTCGAGATCAATGCTTGATATTCTCCTTTTGTTCATCTGAAGATTAATATAATCTTTATTTTGATATCCAAATTGGTTGTATTTTGATATCCAAATTGGTTGTATTTTAGGCACTTTTCTGGATATGATCATATCAATCAGCAGTTTAATAAAAAGGTGAGATCATGCATTGATCTCGATATCCGCATTTCTAAAGTCGTTTGCATCAGAAGCCAGGAAATTTGTTGCATAATAAATTGAGAAAATTCTCATTAGTGAGAACCCAGCAGGGATCTAACCAAAAGAGAGGATCAACAAGAAACTTAAAAGTTTCCACAGTGAACATTTAGATTAAGCAATCTGGATTCTAGCGTATGTCAAAAATTAATTATGTATGCAAAAAAAAACAATTTCAAAATGAAAATTTTCAAGATTATTTTAATAAAATGCATCCACGGTTAAAGCAGGATGAAAATAAAATGGCCTGGAGAGAAGATGATTCCATAGAGCATGGGATCTATGTTGGCGAATGCAGGTAAAACTCGTAAAACGAGCAGAGCAGGATCATTATATTTCAACTATTTTCTTATTACACGTTAAACAAAAGTAAATTACACGTCAAACTAAAGTAAATTACACGTCAAACTAAAGTAAACTACACGCCAAACTAAAGTAAATTACACGTCAAACTAAAGTAAATTACACGTCAAACTAAAGTAAATTACTCGTCAAACTAAAGTAAATTACACGCCAAAACTGAAGTAAATTGCACGTCAAACTAAAGTAAATTGTACATAAGAGTGAAAAGCTTATTTTTCTTCAATCCTAACTTCTTTAATTGAAAATCTATTGAGATAAACAAGAAATGTTTTTAATTTCTCTTATTTAACCAGATAAACTCTGATTTTCTAAATGATAAAAATACAAATAAATATAAACTAAAATGGTGAAGAATGACTTCTGAAAAAAATGTTTAAAAATCTTAGGATAATTCGGAACTCGAAACCGGAGCTATCTAAGTTCAGTATTTGGATCCTATATGTAGTTTGTGCTGAGCTTATGATTAGAATACTACCCGGAGTAATTCTAATCCTTCTCAACTCAATTATGATCAGGTTTTATTATTAATTACATTAATTTAACCATCTTTAATCCGTAGAAATCAATGCAGAACCCCCTTCTCGAATTAACCGCCAAGAGAAGGAAATTAGAAATATTTCAAACCAATATTTCATTAAATCACAATAATACTTCGATATAATACTTCGATATATATAATTATCAATTGTTTACTTTCTTTTATCTGGGATTCAATTGACATAAAATTACTAAACTAATTTTTATTTGGCAATATTATTATCATTATTATCGTAGTATTTCTTTTATATAACTATTATTATTATTATTATTATTATTATTATTATTATTATTATTATTATTATTATTATTATTATTATTATTATTATAATATTATTCTTTTATATAAACAATATACATTATTGCCAATGTTCACCGTTGATAAATGTACAATAAGATGAAACACTATTGAAAGAATGGTGCGAAAATATTTAAATAATTTAGAGATTTCAATGCCGCGCTAGAACGAAGAAAGCGTCTCCAAGCATCAAAATTTCTTCAGTCCACGAGTAGACTGTCGCTAGGTAGTTTTTTATATCAAATAAATACTATGTTAGTTAGGAGGCAGATGTTTTTTCTTTTCTATAATACTCTTACTGTTTTCACGTTTAGATTTCTTTCCCTATTATGAAAAAAATACTTTATTGCAGAGTTCTCGACAGAAAGAAATTGAGTCTTAGCCACAAACTCAAATTTTCTAATCTTTATATATAACCTGATGGTGTAAACCTTTAATTTTTCTACCTTAGATTATTTCATCTAACAGAATTCATAGTGTTAAATATCTAAGAATTACGACATTGAGTTGTAGAGATATAGGTATTAGAAATAAAGAGTTGTTGGCAAAGACTTCATTAATTTATTTTCTATCGCAAATGACTGTTATGTAAATCTATCTGAGCTGAAAACTTTAGAATGGTGGATATCGAGATTAATGCTTAATTCTCTCTTTTTATTTTAATATCAAGACTAACTTAATCTTGTACTTGTATCCTGAAAAGTCTATAAAATTCAATCAATCAGAGTCGGTTTAAGAAGCCTGGAAATTTGAAATTTTGCGCGCCATTTAAGATTAATATACAGTAACGGGAGGGAATCTCTAATTTAAAAAATTGGTTTTTGATTTTTTCTTCAAAATCCAAGAAAGAGTAGCTTAAGAAGAAAATCAAAAGTGTGTCCATTGGATACTCAGATTAAGTAATCGGGATTAAGAATATCTCATTCTAAAGTTTTCAGCTGATCAGAGTAAAACATTGAACTAATTAAAATCCCGCTTTATCATACATATGGAAAGTTAGCATTTTACAAACATTTTTAAATAAACAAGAATGTACAATTTTCATGTCGAAGGAATTGATAGTCAATGAAATCACTGAAATGTAAATATGTGAGGTTTGGAGTAAGAATTAATGAATTGCTTTTTTTTGCATAATTTCGCATATTTCTGTAGAAGTTTTTAGAATAATTAAAAAAAATAATTAAAATCTTGATTTATTTATGTTTTTTCTTCTTTCAGTTGAGTCAGAGAATTCAGATGGGAATAAAAACCTAGCAGAGCTTAACGAAGAAAAACCGTCCGTTCAGGTAAAATATGGATTTAATGCAGCTAAACATAATGGTTCAAACTTTAGCCGTCTTAATTAATTGCCCTTTTCAATAAAAACCTGATCCCTAATTCGTAATACCGTCGTACACTGTATATTGCTAAAATTTTTATATATAACAATAATGAGCAATTAACTCTAATGCCTAACATTTTTGAATTAAAATACTTTTTAAAAAAGAATTAATTTTTTTGTCATCAATAAATATTTCTCTTACTCTTTTTATTTTGATGATTTGATGATAAGAACTGTAAATGGTCAACCTTGACCGAACATCGTTAGGTTGCAAAGATATGGGATTTGTGGCACTAGTTCATTTCTTTTATATTAACTGATAAGTTAAATTAGGAGAAAAAGGCCTGATAAAACATCATATATAATCTGGGGCCTTTTTTCAGGATAATTTTAATTTAAATTATCATATAATTAACTTTTAGAATGTATTTGGAATAATGCGCTGGAGACCTTTCCAGCCCAATGAGGATGAGGTAAATACAAGGAATTAGATTAAAGCTGGCATTTGTTTACACAAAATAGTTTTACTGGCATCATGCATTAGACATAGAACACATCATGCATTAGACATAGAACACATCATGCATTCTGGGATTTGTAGAGTGCTTACGGAACCTTAAAAAACTCCGTCAATTGTATTTTTACAAAAATTGTTGACAACAGGCCATTAACTGAGGGAAGAAACATGTCCCTCACCCGTTGAAATCAAATTTTAGGTAAAATAAGGGCCTTTTCGTTGTGTAATTAAGGAAAAATCTTGAAAAAATATTTTAGGGAAAAAATGGCGGGTTAACCACGACTACAGAGAGTATGGTTCAAATATGGCGGATGAAAGCAAAAACCTCTGCTAGAGATCAAAACATTATTAAACTTCTATTCAACCTCAGGTTCTTGTATAGTTAAACCAGGGGTGTATATTTTAGTAAACCATCCCTCTTTAAAATAATTATTTTCTCCAAACGTTAAGTATGTGAGCTCAAAGTTTTGAGTTTTTCTTCTAAAAGGGGTAAAAAAACTTCCTTTTTTATTTTTATTTTATTTTTCATTATACTAATAATAATTTTAGTTTGATATTTGTATTGACAGAAATACCAATGGCTATCTGTAGAATTCTTCAAGCTATTTCACCAAGGTATCAAAACTTTAAAACATTTAAAATTAAAAAATTTTTCTTGCAAATTAGATTTTCACCAAGATGCTTCAACATATCTTTAGAATATTTTAAAAATAATAAAATCATATTTTTTCAATAATTTTTGGCAACACAATTTTTAATTAAAAAGTAATCGAAGATCAAAGACGATGTTAACCTAAGCAGTGGCGTATTCAGGATTTTTTAACCTTTTTCTTATAATCCCGGGGGGGGGGGGGGGTCAATTCCTTCTGAAAATTATAGTTTTTAATATACCAGAGGAGGGACTATAGCCCCTGTATGCGCCTCTGCCAACAAGCGGTCTCATCTATTTATAAATACTTTGCTTGTCTGTCTGTTTGTTTGTGTCCAATAAACGTTAAACGGCTGAACCAATCTGGTCCAAACTTTTTGTGAAACCTCAGATTTCTCTACGGAAGGGTTTTTGTTGTTGTTTTATATTGCACAAAGAGAAGATGCTCACAGACAGAGACACAGTTAAAAGTTGACCTGAAAGCCTAGTAATTAGCATATTTGTTTTATTAAGGTCCAGTGTTGATGATACTGCAGTCGTGATGGAGATATATATTGTATTCTGCAATGTACTGGAGATAATATTCGCTTCCTCCAACTTCTACCTCTACGTGTTCTGCAATAAGGAGATCAGGAACAAGGTGACGGGTTACCTGCACACAGAATGCAACTTCAAATACACGACTTACATTAATGGCCGGACGCAGCTTTACACTTCTTAAAGGGGGCGGATCAGCGTAAATTCAATTGATCATCTACGTAAACATGGAAATTCCCGATTCAGAATGGTATCCTTAAAACCTTTATCTGATCAATAATATGGAATATAAGTTTTCTTCAATTAAAAACCGTTAAATCCTGATAATTCCGGTATGCTTTCTTACACAGTAGAAATGTGCAAGTAACCCACAATTTAAAATAATCAGTTTTCACAATTACAAACATTAATTTCTATTTGAAAACAAAGATTTTATGGGTACCGTTGTGATTAGGGCATTGCCATCGTAGCATGCAGGGAGGATCCCTTGAAATTACGCTTACAGTCCCTTCTTCTCAGCTAACTTCTTAAATAGATCTGTTAAGACCTATATGTTTATGATATGAGACCAAACTTAACCGTTGAATATAATATGCAATGAAGGTTCATGTCATCGTTACAGTCTCATTCATTGTGGGTAAACCTGTAGACCAGTTAAATGATATATAACCGTTGAACTGATTTAAGGTTGTCTTCCTTGATAGATTTTATCTTCTATTTAAAGAATTTCATGCCCGATTCTCTGGAGGGAGGGAGGGGGTGCAGAGCAACCATGAGCCCCGAGAATAGACCTCCGGTGCCTCCTAATTCGCAGAATGGCCTCCTAGCTAGTCAAAATCATCTCCGTGCCCCTCGCTACGTTTCCCCAAATAGATGATCAAAAACAATAGGTGACAAGAGACAGTGGGACCAATTATACACGACGTCACAAGATAAAATAAAAAACTGTAAAAACAGAAAATAAAAAAACACATAAAATTTCACTTATTTCACTTAATTTCAAAATTATCCCTTTTTTAATAATTTTGTCGGACACAAAAATAAGTTGACACTTGTGACGTAAGAATACAGGGGGTACTAAGAGTGTACAAATTCTACGTTGCCATCTATTGTACTAGAATCTGTTTGCGTTTCCCAGCCTCCGCAACTCCACGTCCAGCATTCTAATCTTCAATAACAAATATTTGGCTTTTACAGCCACCAGAAACCTTTTTGTTGCGAGAAATTTCAACATGATCAAATAGTTTTAATGATGCATAAACACTTAACTTGTGTAAAACAATTGCAGCTTTATATAAAGATTGACAAATTGTAAACCATTTTATAGGTGTATCATGTACAAAACATAATAGTTTTGTGAAATTCTTGAATAATAAAATACAATAAAAGCACAAATTCAAGTATTTTGTGAATTGGTGCTTACTATAGATGGATTCGTACATGATACACCTATGAAATTATTTAAAAGGAAACGAGTCTTTGTCCCAAACTCATATTTTCTAATCCCATTATCTTTGCAATTTGATGTTGTAGACCTTTGATATTTCAAACTAAAATTTCTGTCAGATTAAACAATCTAAGTTTGAAAATCATAGGTTTACAACTTTAAGCTTCAAAGATATAGGAATTAGAAAATTTAAAATTGTGACAAAAACTCAATTCCGTCGTCTATCTTTATATAAAGCTGCAATAGTTATGCGCAAGTTTAAGAATTTGTAACATTTAGAAAAAAGGACAAAAAAGTCTTAATCTCTACTATAGTTGACTTTTTAAAACAAATTGTCTATGTAGATCATGAAAACTATTTGATCATGTTGAGATTTTTTCGAGGATATTCTGCGAATCAAGAGCAACCGGAGGTCAGTTCGCGGGGCTCACAGTTTCCCTGCACCCCCTTCCTCTTCTTAGCAGTACACTTCAATGGATGCTAAAAAGATGAATTTATTCTAGTTCTTTAATCTGAAAATTAATAATTTTTAATTACGGTTTCACTAGAATGCTACTTAAATGGATTTAACCTGCAAGGACAAGGAAGAATTTTTTTAGGGTTTTATTCGCTGAATCAAGGAAAAAAATGAAGATAAAAGAATTTTTGGGTAAAAATTATCAAAAAGAATGTAAAAAGTTGTCTTCCGTCAAATTTTTCAGTTTTCCCCCAAACCATCAAAAATCACCCCCCCCCCCCTTGTATTCTTAATTATATACATCCCTCCATATTCTTTCATATTTCTCTCATAGGTTTTGACATATCTTCCACTAAAGCGTGCACGTGAACTGAAGGAATCCATTTTTACAATTAACACAGGTGATTCCCTTTATCAGAAAACACAAAACATAAGGTTTAGTTCAATGCTTAAATGTTATTTAAATCTGGGTATGTGGTATCATACCTTTATACCAAATAGTTTTCTGACACGGCCTTATGTTTTGAATAAGGTTGTGCAGTTAATGTGCTAAGTGCATGTTGGTTGTAAGCACTAAAAAATAGTAGGTTTTTGGACTTTTTTGAATGGCTTTTTTGTGTTTGAAAGGGAAATTTAATATCTAATAATTTTCCTGTTCCAGACTCTAGCAGCTGGAATACCAAGGAGAGTTTATCCTTCCCTCGCTTCTTCAAAACCTCATGGAACCCTGGCGACCAAACTTAAACCTTCTGGAACTCTATCGATGAAACTTAACCCTCTTGAAACCCTGGCAACCAAATTTTTACCGCCTTGAACTCTGGCGACCAAACTTGAACCTCCTGGAACCTTGGCGACCAAACTTTAACCTCCTGGAACCCAGACGACCAAACTTTAACCTCCTGGAACCCTGGCGACCAACGTTCCCAACGTAAACCTCATGGAACCCTGGCAACCAAGCTTAAATTAACGTCCTGGAACCCTGGCAACCAAACTTAATCCCCCTGAAGCCATTGCTACCAAACTTAAACCTCCTGGAATCCGGACGACCAAACTCAAACCAAACCCTGGCTACCAAACAACTTAAATTCAAGAAAAATTAGTTAACATACGAATGTTTACGTTATTTATTCATGAATTAAGGGTTTTCTTGGTCGGTTCAAGGTTTAGAATCTATATAATTCAGTGTGTAAACTTAAATAGTTCTTCGTTTAAGAAGAGTAAATAAATTTGTATTTTAATGCTTGCAAGTCTATCTATTTAAACATGCAATTAAGCCAATTTATGGAACAATGCGGATCCATGATCCGCTCTAAAACAAATGGATACGATTACAGGGAATACGGGTCATTAACATTTGTCGCTTGTTAAGACATTCCAGTCTCTTAAATGATCCGGTAAAGCGACACATTTTAATAGTTTTCTAATGGGTACATGTGCTAAATGATCAATTTGATTTTAATGCAGATCCTTGATCCGCCTTGAAAAAAAATGATCCGGATTCAGGTCATGAACATTACGATTTAATGATTTTTTAAACAAAAAAATGTTTGTAACCTACTTTTTTTCGCTAATTTTTATGCTTACACTTCAACTATTCAGAGAAGCCAGAAATAAAGAAATATCTTTCTTCATCAGCTCAGAAGAGTTTATTTTTACGGTTTTTAATCCATATTTGGTCAAACTATTTTGGTTCCAACAGATCAGGTGTAGCGTTACATCCAGACCGGGGTAATATTTGGCCCGGGTGCAATACAATGACGGCGTTAGAAAAACAAACGCATTTAAAGTTTTAGGCTGCAAAATAGTTGTAAACATGCCTAAATAATGTACATAATGTGTGTGCTTCTAATTTTTGATTTTATGGCCTGCCAAACAAAAAATTGTAACAATTTCAATAACAATGATAATGTGCATGCTTTGGGTCCGTCAAAGTAAACAATTTTTGGACCCCNCCCCCTCCTAACAATTATGTACATGGATTTCACATGTAAAACTCACACGGACCAAATATAACGCCCGGGCCTTATTTAACGTGACACCGGACCAGCAAACCTGTTTGGAGTTCCATGACATGCAATATCCGGTTTTTAAAATCTAACTCATCAAAATGAAAATTACAGCAATTTAAAAAACTGGGGAAAAAGGTTGCAAAAAGTAGAACAATATTTGGTTATGAAAACCATTAACCTGCGACTGATTATACCCCATGAATCAAAGAAATTTTAGGAACAGATTCTTAACAGTTCCTATCAATTAAAAGCAAAAACTCGCAGTTGTAACTAAAAATGCTAGGGCGAAATAATACAGCGGCGTTCACACCTCCCCCCCCCCCCCCCGACCCGTAGTAACTATCTTGAAACTAAAGCAAACCTCACATTCATAAATTTTCCGATGGATAATTTGACAGTTTTGAATAGTTTAAGCTAGAAATGCGTTAACTTGAGTTTTATTCAGCTTCTATTCTTCGGATTTTTAATCTCAAGAGGACTAATGATCCAATAAACTACCGTTGATAAGGTCTGGAAGGCAAAATAAAAAAATTCAGAAAAGCTAGTCCAACTGAACATTAACCTGAACTATTCTATGAAAAAAAATGTGTTCATTTCATAATTTTGAATTTGTTCACGATTAATAATGCAAATTAGTTCCAAGTCGGCTTTAATCCAATACAAGCATGATTATTTTGCCTAGTTCAAAATGAAGAGTTCAAGAGGAAAAAATCTTCGAAAAATTGAGCTTTTAGATGAATGACGGAGCAATTTAGAATTACAAAAAATTCCACCTTACATTACAAACTTGCAACGAAAATTAATATTCTCCCGAATCGGATCAATTAATTAATTTCTAATTAACAGAAATAAAAAGTAACTAACTATTCTTCGCTTCGCTAATTATTCGACAGCAGAGACTCTTTCAAACCATGGATATGAAATTAAATAAAACATTATAAACCGTGCCGATTTATTTAAGGAAAATAATTTTCACGATCAGCAATATAATATTAATTCATATAGTAATAATTTACTATCACTGGTTTCCAGAACACTGGATCACTGTTCCCTTGGGATCAGTCGGTTCCACTTTTAAAAGTTAGCGGATCAGTTCAGTCGGTTCCACGTTCAAACGTTCAGATCCTCTTCTCTAGACCGAAACACCGGCACGGTGGGGGATATAAATGTTTATGATGGCGGGAGGATTTAATTTAGACGGATCACGTCGTGGAACATTATAAATAATTAACAGAACTCGTATAATAGGAAATTCTTGCAACAATACTAATATTAAAATAAGAATAAATGGGTCTAAAATAAATTTTCCGGCAGCAGAACAAGACCCTTTGTGTTAACTTTTAATCGATCCTTTGTCATAACTTAATCCGGTCCATAGTGCAATCCACAAAGCGGCAAAATTGTCCTACTTTCTCACGTCTGCTATATCAGTGTCAACATTTCGATTCTCTTCTTAATTCCTCATTGAGCATTTCTGTATCTCTGCTGCCGGTTTGGAACTAGACTAGTTCCTATCGCCCACCTGAAAACAAAATCTATCAAAATTTTACCCAGCTAAGAAAAGATTTTTAGATAACTGACCCAGAGCAAATGAATAGCGGTTCTACAAACATAATCTTAAAATTAAATTCCATATTTGATAAATTGTGAAGTAAAAATGGTCAGAGACCGAATTTTATGAATTTTAACAGCCTACTACCAGTTCAAATCCTTCATTAAAATTAGACTTTTGAAGTTTGAACCGGCAGCAGGTAGTTCAATGAAATTGCCGAAATTCATTAAATCCGATACCAGGAGTGCAATTTCAGATAATTCATTGCCAATTTTAAGGGCAAATAAATTTTCGTTGCAAAATTAAAACTTTAATTTGGAATGAACATTTTGAAATGTTGGTATAGACATAAATTTTAAAGTTTTTGAGCGGGGAAAATCTAAAAGTCTTCAGATTAACCAACCAAGAAAAGAATAGTGAAAGGGGTAGGTTGGCAATTCGGAAAGTAAAAATGACTCGAGATGTAATATAAAGTTTGTTAGCTCCCTTGGGTAGCTCTTTGCCAACCTACCCTCCGTATTTGCCAACCTACCCACTGTGGTCTCCGTCCTGCACCTTGAGTAGGTCCTCCTCTCACAGCTCCAGCATATCCCTGTCCTCGACCTCCTCGTCCTCCAAATCCGCGACCTCCAAACCCGTTCTCCCGTTGTGGATATCCACCATTTTCCCTGGGCGCATATCCGCCATTTTCCCGACCGCCGTAGCCTGCACCGTTGTCTCTGTTGTATCCACTGTTGTATCCGCCCTGGAAACCCCCGCCGCCTCGCATTCCGTATCCTCGACCGAAGTTCTGACCTCCTCTGAAGCCTCTGGCTGGAGGTCCTCCGTAACCCTGGCCATATCCTTGGCCTCTGTTTCCACCTCGCTGGACAAACCCGCCTCTAGCTCCGGCGTAGTTATATCGTCGGTTTCCAGCGACACCAAAAGTTTCCTTGTTCATTTTCTTCTCTGCTCTCCAATCATTCCTCATCATTTTCCTTAACAAATATTTTATTTATATATTTTTATAAAAATCATTTAAACATCCTCCTATTCTTCTCGATACCAATTTTTCCGCGCAAAATATCCCAGGGATGCAATGCAAGGGGGTGTATTAACGCAACTAATATCTTATCAAATTCAAAAATTACACTTACCCTTTACTTCTCTCTAAAGCTTCACAGGAAATGTTGTCGAAGAAAGATTTCTTTTTGTCATAATAGATTTCATCATCTTCTGCTACTTCTCCATCCTAAATATCAACCTTGAAATTCAGGAATAAAGAAAAGGCTGTATCGGTATAATTTCCCAAATTGTAAGTTTTAAACATCTAATCTTCGGAAAGAGGATGTACAGGGTATCCCAAAAAACATGGGAATTCAGTGACGAATTCGATATCGTCTTTTTGAATAATTCTTTGATTTAGTATAGTGATACCTACTGAGAAAGCTGTAATCTGTAAGAGTTTCGTCTGCTATGTTCACATTTGTTTGTTTATGTTTTGACTGCATACGGTTGTACTTAGTAAAACAAGAAAATTGCAGTTTACAAACAGAGTAAACTTGTCCGTCTTCACTGTTCATCTTGCGGAGACATTAGAGACACATCTTTAGAGTCTTTTACCCTTTTCATAAAATAAGCTCTAACAGACATAATAATATTATGGCTTTTGAAATTAGGCATTACAATGCTAATTCATAACAAAGACGATATCAAATTCGTCTCTGAATTCCCATGTTTTTAGGGACACCCTGTAGTCATAACTTTACCAGTCTAAAAATCTGGGAAATTGATCATTTAATCGACCAAAATACAGTGAAAACCCAATTAAAAATACTCATTTCAAATTGATAATTGGGACGGAAAAATGAGACAGACTAAGAGAAAACAATGATCAAACCTGGATTTCTCCCTCCTCCGGTTCAACCCGTTCTACACCTTCCTCCACCATATCTCCGCTCTCAGGTGCAGAGGCAGTTGCATCATCCAACTTAGTCTTGTTTAGTTTATTAAGAACCTCCTGGAACTCCTCATTCGCCTTGTCAAAGTCGTATTCAGAGTCGAAAGTCAACTTCTCCTTGGTCGGACCAAACTTGCCAGGTTGGAAAGATCCTCTACCCCGTCCTCGTTGTCCCTGGTGAACCATACCCCTAGTGGGAGGAGCTCCACCCCTGCCTGCTCCTCTGTGGAATGCAACGGGTTGGGCGGGAAGTCCTCGGCCGGCTGACTGGGGTCGCCCACTAGATTGACTGTCTTGTCTAGATCTGAACGAGAACAAAAATAAGAATATCAGTGAGTTAAAAACCAGGAAAAGGGAAAATAAAATGTCACCCGGTGTAAATAAAGAATATTAGCAAAGGATTCCTCTGTAGATTGAGGCAAGGAACGAAACTTAACTTGTCAGATTTTGAGGACAAAAATAATATTGTTAGATGAATCATTTTGGAAAGAGGCATAATTCGTGCATAATGTTCAGATAAATCCTGCAAGGTGTCCCCAATAAACGTGGGAATTAATAGTACTTAAATATAGTCTTAATTTTCGATTGACAGACATAAAGGGAATAAAAAAAAATTGACCGAGAGCTTTAACAGTTGTTGATATTTGGTTACAGGTATCTCGACAAATTTCCTATTATCTACCGTAATTTAGGTAAAAAAAGGGGTAAACCACATTTTGGAAATCGCGAGAAAAGTAGTTCTCGGTGTTAAATGTCTCATCTGTGATACTACAAAATTATATTTACGAAATAGTCAAGCTTGGAACTGGGAAGAAGCAGTCATTTATTATATTCATTGAGACACCCTGTAGTGAAGGTAAACGCACGACTAAAAAAAACACCCACCTGTTTCCACCCCTACCCGCCTGTACTCCCATCTCTGTGGTCGGAGATCTACGGAGTTCATGAGGAGTCGATCTTAACGATCTTTCTCCATCTCCTTCCAGAGGAGAACCTAAATTAACATAAATTTAATTTTGCGAGACAAAACATTGAGTCTAACTACGATTAGTGCAGAAAACTTTAAATACAGATGTTTTTAGAAGTGCAAGTACGCAACAGCAGATACCAGTAATAAAAAATTATTTTACTCATTTTCCTACTAAAATTTGATCTTTGTTAAAAATTTTAACTCAAATAAAAACAAACTCGTATTCGCCCATGTAATAATTCTAATTTTCAGTCTAATTAAAAGAATTTGGACACCACCCAACATAAAATTAACTTACTTATCTGTGAAGAGCCGAACCCTCTACCGATAGGACCAAGGTTAGGCTTAGACGACACTCCACCAGGTGCGGACGAATGCTGCAAATTTTGTTTAATAATATGGATGTAAGAAAATAAAACCTTGAATTTTCTGGTCTTACTCCCAACCAATTACACGCCGGCAGTTACTAAAAAACCGTTAATTCTGTGTTGAATCTCAAGAACAATCTACTAAACCTACTAGTATTTAAAATAGCATTTTCAGGATTCAGGTTGGCTCAAAAACAATTCTGTTAACCAAAATATTCCGTCCCATTTAAAGCAACTAATGTCACAACTAAAAATTAAACTCGACGAGTCTATAGTCATAAAACCAAACAACAATCAATGTCAAGCACCAACTCCGGGGTAAGAAAAACCTTAAATCATGAAATGCTAGGAGATGCAATTTTTTAAAAATCAGTCAAAAATCTTTTACGTAGAATGGAAAACTCTCACGACAAGTTAAAAAGATAATTTCATCGTTTCACAGCTTAAAATAATAGGTCCAAAACTTTCCCCAAATTAGTAACATAATAAACAACTAGATCTGTACCTGGATTATGGCAGGATCATTAGGTAATCCTCCCTGTAGGGTTGGAAGGGGTTTAGGGGGCTCACACACTTTAATATCCTTGATATCCGATCCACGGAATATAATATACTCGTAAACTTCATCACGGGGAGCAACAGGTCTCTCAGTCGGCCGATTCTCAGTACCGAAAGATCGAACTGAAACATTGATAAAATATACTTCTTCACGTGAAGACACTTTTTCACGAGAACATGCTTTTTCACGCCTTACACCAAAAAACCCGTACTTAGGAAGAAATGAGCTAAAAAATTTGGCAATACGCAACTGCAACTAAAACTTGGTATTCAGCAAAAAACATTTCTACTTTATGTACGCGACTTCCATTTCCGTGAAGAATTTATATAACTAGGGACGTATATTGCGTCCTAGGGACAGATCTTTGGACCCCCCCCCCTCAATCAGTTTGTACAAATACCACTTTTTCCTGAAAAATTATTATGTTCATTTCAAGGTTAGGTAAGGACATTTTCTGGGCCGAGCGCTGCGACTAGAACAGGCTAGGGGGCCGAGCGCCGCGGTTAGGGATCGGTCGCTGTGGCCACTATACCAATTAAATCCATCTGTTACATTGGAGATCCATGTACAAAATAAGATACCTCTCTACTTTGTAGGTAACCACTAATCCCCTGGCCTAGACATCCTATTTTGCCAACCAAACACACCCATCTTTTTTGTTATAAAATGCAGATATAGTTATACTTCAAAGGCAGGATATACGAGCCGAGCGCTGTGACTCAGCAGTATGACACAACACACAACTCCACTCGTGTTACAATCAAGATTACTTTAGATATAAGAATTATGAAAGGACCGAGGAAAAAAATTTAAAAGGCAAATACTTGAGATGGTTCTCTGCAAATATTAGTCAAACACTCGGTTTCACAAATTGGAGAAAAAGTTAAAATAAAGTATCGAGAAAATTTCTAACCTTTCGCCAGAGCAACCGTAGATTCCTGTGTATCAATAGTGTAGAGAATTCCTTCATATCTTATCTCAGACTTAGAGATTAAACTGATTTTCGAACCGAGGTACGGAATACCTTCGGACGAAGACATTTTGCCGCTTTTACAGCTGAAATGAAAGATTTGATCTATATTAACTTGGGATTGGCATAATCTTACTCCATATTTAAATCGACAAGCCAAGCGCATAATTCGAAGTGTATCGAGAAAAATTAAAGTACGAAAATAAAAAAATAATCTAAGAACTTTCTCCGTTAAAGAATAGATGCGGTTTCTGGTAAAGAGAGTGTACACTTAGTAGAAAAGATCACAACGGAAGTAGGAATTTGATTGATTGATCGCAAAACAGAGTATAAGGTATAAAAATCTGAAAAATAATTATTTCGATTAAATTTTCATCAGTGATTAAAATAATTTAGAAATAAAAACATGAATTGAAATATTTTAAAAATAATTATACAGAAACCCCCCCTTGACGGATATAGAAATATTGGTCGTCTTTAATATAAATTTAGAAAAACAAAGTAAAGAAATAAACGTAAAATATAAACAAGGATAAGGAGAATAGGATATTGGCAAGGATAAAGGGAGAAGGTTGTGAAAAATACAGGGACAAACTTGTGAAGGATATAGGAAGAAGGTGCAGGAATCGGATTCGAGATTGATAGTGGCTGCGAAGGATACAGGGAGAAGGGTAGGGACGAATGACGATACAAGGATGATATTGGAAAGGATAGGGACGATACAAGGATGATATTGGAAAGGATAGGGGGCAAGATTTCGCACGTAGTGCGAAATTTTTTTTTGGCCCCCCCCCTGGAATTGCTTTGTTCAAAAAGTCACTTAACACCATAAAAATACTTCAAAAACAGTACATTTTTGGGTGTTACTGACCTTATAGAGTCTAAAAATTATTCCTTTGCTCGAAAAACTAACTTTAACTTTTTAACTTTATAAATTTATAAATTATCACTTAAAACTTCATCACAGCTAACTAAATCAATAATCACAGCATCATTAAAAATTACATTTTTACTAATAAACAAAATTTCTTCTGAAATTTTTAGATAGAATTTACTCCATCTACATATTCACCAACTCTTTTAAGCTTCAATTTTCTGGGATTTGCTTGCACAAACATTTCAATGATTTTCTCAGAAATGAGCCATAAGTGCAAGATCGTTAAGAGTGCTCTCAGTCATAGTATATCTTGTGTAATGACGTATTCTCTTTTCGATGTTATTGTCATCATTGCATAAAGGGAAACTTGAAATTACGCTTAATATCTCTTTATGAAAATAAAGAAATTGAGTATTTGGCACAAACTCTGATTTTCTAATCACTATATCTTTGGAACCAAATGTTGTAGATATTTTAAACTATGAATTCTGTAAAAACAAACATTTTGAATTTGAAATATCAAAAGTTAACAACATCAGGTTCCAAAGGTTTGAATATTTAAGTTTGTGCCAAAGACTCAATTCCTTTATTAATTGACTGTAAGAAAAATAGAGATCTAGAAAATAGAATTCCTTTATTACATCTTCCATCATGTTATAAGCATCTAATGAGTCGAGGTCTCGTTTTTGCAAAAGTTTTAGTTTAAAGTATCTTAAAATTTTGTATTATAATAGTGAATTTAGACAAATCCTTAGTCTTTGTCATTGTCAGGTGTTAGTTTTTAAATTTGTTTCCTTTCAATTTTGTATTTTAAAGGGGGGGGGGGGGGCAAGAGGACTACTCCCCCTAGGTACGCCACTGGAGGGTAGGAAGAAAACCTATTTGGATAAAGAGAGGTTAGGTTGGTAAGGTTACTTGGAGAATATGGAGAGAAGGTTGGAAAGGATACGGGGAGAAGGTTGGAAAGGATACGGGGAGAAGGTTGGAAAGGATACAGGGAGAAGGTTGGAAAGTATACGGGAGAAGGTTGGAAAGGATACGGAGAGAAGGTTGGAAAGGATACAGGGAGAAGGTTGGAAAGGATACGGGGAGAAGGTTGGAAAGGATACTGGGAGAAGGTGGGAAAGGATACGGAGAGAAGGTTGGAAAGGATACGAGGAGAAGGTTGGAAAGGATACGAGGAGAAGGTTGGAATGGATACGGGGAAAAGGTTGAAAAGGATACGGGGAGAAGGTTGGAAAGGATACGGGGAGAAGGTTGGAAAGGATACAGTGAGAAGGTTGGAAAGGATACTGGGAGAAGGTTGGAAAGGATACGAGGAGAAGGTTGGAAAGGATACGGGGAGAAGGTTGAAAAGGATACAGGGAGAAGGTTGGAAAGGATACGGGGAAAAGGTTGAAAAGGATACTGGGAGAAGGTTGGAAAGGATACGGGGAGAAGGTTGGAAAGGATATGGGGAGAAGGGTGGAAAGGATACAGGGAGAAGGTTGGTCAAAGGATACGGCGAGAAGATCGAGAAGCCTAGAAAGAACAGCAATGCACTCTTTAGTTTGTGTCAGTATTAAATCATTTCAAACAAGACTGGGTCAACTTCACGCAGAATTCGTGGTACGACATTGCGACTTCGTAACTCCTTCTGTGTCAATTTTTAAACAAAAATAGATAAAAACAAACCTTTCTTGCTGCAACTCAAGTTTTTATTTTTTAAGAGCTTTTCAAAATAAAGAGTTGAATTTGAAAACATACATTTTGAAAGGCGTTAAGCCTTTGCCACAAAATCAAATTTTCTAATCCCTATATCTTTGAAACCTGTTGGGGTAGGCCTGTAGTAAATGCATTACTCCAATAAGTTCTCTTATGTCTGCACCAATCAAGATATGACGCTGTTGTATTCTTCAGGTATCTATCATTCAAGATACAACTCGTGCTCAATCTGTATCAATCCAGATATAACCTCTGTAGAACTCCATGGTCTGCAATAATAACTTAATCTGTATCCCCTAGGTACAAACTTCTCTAGAACTCTCTCGTTTCCTCAATATACTCGATTGATATCAAACCAGATACAACCTCAGTAGTACTCCGTGGTCCACAGCAATAACAAAGTCTGTATCGCCCAGGTACAGACTAATCTAGAATTCTTTCGTTTTCTCAATATACTCAGTCGGTATTAATCTGGATAAAACTTCAGAATGTATCACCTAGGTACAGACTGCTCTAGGACTCTCTCTTTCCCTCAATATACTCGGTTGGTATCAAACCAGATACAATCTCTGTAGAACTCCGTGGTCCACAGCAATAACTTGGTCTGTATCACCTAGGTACAGACTGGTCTAGAACTCTCTCATTCTCTCAATATACTCAGTATGTATCAATCTGGATATGACTACAGAATGTATCCCTAGGTACAAACTGCCATATGAACTGCTTGGCCTACAATAATACCTTGGGATGTGTTAACCTAGATACAACACTCATTGTATTTTACTAGTTTATATCTATTAACCAAATCAGATCCGTCTTGTTCACCACACGAGGATGGATTACTCTTACACCTTAATCAAGCGGGGTATTATTCCAACTAATGTTTATCTTGAGCTCATTGGTACAGGTTAGATTAATGAACCTAATTATAAGTTTTATGTAGTTATTTGCAAACGTAGTTAGGTTTAAGAACCAATAGGTTTTTCATAGTTATTTACAAGCATATAAAGGTTACAGATAATTTTCAACATAATATATCTAGGTGTGTTTAGGTTTATAAATATAGGGTTTACAATGTACGATATTTATTACAGACTTTTCATCTTTCAAACTTAGATTATTTGATCTAACAGAATTCATAATTTGAAATATATAAGGCCTACGTCATTGGGTTGCAAAAATAAAATGAGTAGAAAATCTTTAAATTCACTTTACTTATGGTTCTAATTTTTTATTGCTACGATAGTTTGATGTGAACTATGAAAAGAAATTTTAAGACATTCAGACTTTTTTCTTACATGCAACAACATGAAGCTTAACCTTGGTGTTTTTCCTACATGCAACAACATGAAGCTTAACCTTGGTGTTTTTCTTACATGCAACAACATGAAGCTTAACCTTGGTGTTTTTCTTTTAACTAAATTTTTCTCCAGGTTTTTCTCCCATTGTTTCTTACCCTATATCTCAAGCAAAAAATAAAAAAAAACTCAGATTTTTTCTTTTATTATTTTCTTTTATTTTTAATCTGATTCGAATCCAAAATCCATTTGCCCCGGAAGGGTGAAGGTCAATGCAGGTTCAACATACTTCCGGCGCACCTTACTGACTTCCGGTTCAAACCCCTCCACTTGCTCTATTTCATTAATACCTGAGTTACAAAGAAAAAATGTATTCAAAATAGTTTTAAATTCATTAGAAAATTTGATTCTTGAATTTTCCCTTATATCTAACTTTTCAACATGATTCAACATGATTAAAAATGTTATGAAATTTAAGTCAAAAAAAAAAAAAAAAAATAAGATACAAGATAAGTAAAATTACTGAAAATGCATTACAATTTGCATTTTCACAACTTATAGGAAAACTTAAAACTTTTATCTTAGAGAATTAAAATAAGAAAGAACTTATTTTACTAGATTATAAATTATGTGTTTCTTGTCTTTCTTGTCCAAAATAATGATAAAAAAGTCTCCGAATTTTTTACATTGTATAAGTTGTAAAAAATTGTTGTAAAATATTTACCAGCTATAGAAACTAGATCATCAGTTTGCCTTCGGAGAGTTGACGTAATTCTAAAAATAATAAAAATATTTATTTTGTGGATTTTAAAACACAATCTTAATTTGGTTTGAAAACTGAAAGGGGGGAAGTTCGGTTAATAATTAGTGAAGAAAATGAACTAATCACTTCTCACAAACTTTAATTTTCTATTTCTTCGCAACCTGAAGGTTCATGTTTCAGACTTTGTCTATAGACCTCACATAATTCTTAGTTTGAAACATTAAATGTCCACGATGTAAAATAGCAAATAAATGAGGATTAAAAATTTAAAGTACAAAAGTGGAAAGTGTTCAGTTCCTATAATACATAAGTTTAAAAAATGTGAATTCGTTTTGAGAACTCACCCTGGGTCAATGATATATGTACAAACGGTGGTTTTGGGAACTCACCCTGGGGCAATGATATATGTACAAACGGTCGTTTTGGGAACTCACCCTGGGGCAATGATATATTTACAAACGGTCGTTTTAAGAACTCACACTGGGGCAATGATATATGTACAAACGGTCGTTTTGAGAACTCACCCTGGGGCAATGGTCGTTTAGTTAAACAAAAGAATTGATGGTTCCATCAAGCTTACAATAATAGTATGAAAATATATATAGAAATATATAAATATAAATCAAAATATATAAAAAAAAATATTAAAATTTCTAAAATTATGTAAAAATTAAGAAAAATATATAAAAATGAATAAAAATATGTGAAAAATGTCTTATAACACAAAAGAAAAAAAGAACATTTTCATACCTTTTTGAAACACTGGAGGCCGTGGCACTTGGCTGTCGAGTTCCAGGTCGAGTTCCAGGTCGAGTTCCAGGACGAGTTCCATCAGTTTTAACTTGATATGATCTAGGGTTACTGCAGGGTCTGAACACAGAGAGTTTATTGAAATAAGATTTGGATTCTCCCATTTATAAACTAGGTTTGGTTTAAAGAACATTTCTAAGTTTGTATATAGCAAAGGTTTCACCATCAACGTTTAAAGATTTCGGGACTATAAAATTAAATTTGAATTTGCATGGCAGAGATTCAATTCCATAACATTATTCGATCTTCATGTTTATGCGTACTGTTGCAAGGAAATGTAAACAATTAGTTTAAAGTTCTAACAATAAATATATAGTGGAGAGAATATCTGTAAAAGTATACCTCCAGTACCCGTAGACAAGGTTCTTCAGGGAGTAGGTCCTTATGCCTCTCATTACATACTTTCTTAGCTCCTTATTCGTAGCGTAGGCAATTCCTGAATATTTCTCAACATATTTTCATAATTTTAGTAGTTATAAATTTAAACTTTATTTTGTAGTTAACTATACATTTTAATTCAAAAATATTATTTTTCTGTTCCCTGCATGAACATTTTGTAGATTTAATCATGATTTAATTACTGCACTAATCCCTGTAAATTGTGATGTTCCAATCCCTGTAAATTAATATGTTCTAATTCCTGTATCTTTGATGTTTTATCCTTATAAATTCTGCTGTTCGAATCGGCCTTGTAAAATCTGCTGTTTTATCCCTGTAAATTCTGTTGTTTTATCCCTGTAAATACTGCTGTTTTATCCCTGTAGATTCTGCTGTTTTATCCCTGTAAATTCTGTTGTCTTATCCCTGTAAATGCTGCTGTTTTATCCCTGTAAACAGGGGCGGATATAAGGATTCTGTAGGGGGGGGTAAAAA